CACTCTGGGTTGGTATTGTCAATTTGATGTCCATCCCTAAGGTCTTTAATCTGTTGTAGCTTTTCACTTTAATTACATCAGGTAAATGGCTTTGTAAGTTGTGATAATGAGTAAGGAATTGGGGTTGGCACTGTAGCGTAGCAGGTTAAGCTGCCTGCAGTGTCGGCATCCCTATGGGCGATGGTCCGAGTCCCAGCTACTCTAGTTCCAGCTTCCTGCTAATGGCTGGGAAAGCAGCAGAGGATGCCCAGGTGCTTGGGCCCCTGCACCCATGTGGGAGATGAGAAAGAGGTTCCTGGCTTCGGATTGGCTCAGATCTGGCCATCGCAGCCATCTGGGGAGTGAACTAGCAGATAGATCTCTCTCTCTCTCTTTCCCTCTATAACTCTGCCTTTCAAATAAATCAATAAATCTTAAAAAAAAAAAAAAAAAAAAAGGCTTCCTGGAAGATATGGTGCCTGAGTGACACCTCATAGAAAAAAAACCAAAAAACCCACACAAAGATGAAGCCTGAAGACTCCGACCTTTTGACAGTCTAAAGGCTCTGGGTCCTTTTAACCTCACGCGGCCAGGCAGGCTGTAGATTTGGTGGCTGTTGTTCTTTTCCGTTTATTCTCTTGAATGATGTGTGTGGTCTGCTCTTACACATGTGCAGGTGCAGCTCTCTGCACCCCCACCCCTCGCCTCTCCTTTGTTTCTCTGGCAGTGTAGGCTTCCTCTGTCATAGGCTTAATCACCCCTGAATTGTCTGTTTTCCCATTTTCTTTTTTTTTTTTTTTTTTGACAGGCAGAGTGGACAGTGAGAGAGAGAGAGACAGAGAGAAAGGTCTTCCTTTGCCGTTGGTTCACCCTCCAATGGCCGCCGCGGCCGGCGCGCTGCGGCCGGCGCACCGCGCTGATCCGATGGCAGGAGCCAGGAGCCAGGTGCTTTTCCTGGTCTCCCACGGGGTGCAGGGCCCAAGCACCTGGGCCATCCTCCACTGCACTCCCTGGCCACAGCAGAGGGCTGGCCTGGAAGAGGGGCAACCGGGACAGAATCCGGCGCCCTGACCGGGACTAGAACCCGGTGTGCCGGCGCCGCTAGGCAGAGGATTAGCCTAGTGAGCCGCGGCGCCGGCCTGTTTTCCCATTTTCTTACCAGATTATCAGTTCCTGGAGGGGAGGGGCTATATCTTTTATTACTGTATCTCCACTGTTCCTGCAATTTCCTTAAACCTAGGATTTCAGTTTATCATTCATTGGATCCTAACCCTATCCTTTACCCCATGCCTAGAACGTACGTGGTAGGTACTACATAAACATTTGCTAATTGAAAGACTGTTGCCTTAATCCTAAAACTTTTATACTTTCAGACCCGTAAAAAGCAGAAGGAAGACGTGGATGTCGTAGGAAGCAGTGATGGAGAAGGAGCCGTGGGGCTCAGCAGTGACCCCAAGAGCCGGGAACAAATGATTAATGATCGAATTGGTTACAAACCCCAACCCAAGCCCAATAGTCGCTCATCTCAGTTTGGAAGTTTTGAATTTTAGAGATGGATTATCCTGCATGCCAGAGCCCTGGAGTGGAATGAAATAATGGCAGAAGTACAAACCAGGCTGAGGGAACTGAGTGCTTGCAGGGAAGCGGAATGTTTACCTCCTGCAGAGAAGTGTTTCTGCAGGAGACTGCTGACGCTTCACTTCTGCTCTAAGCTGCAATGCAGACTCTGGTTTGTCTCTGGAAAGCTGACTATAAAAATCATCTGAATCTTGTTTTTCAAAATAAATATATTTTTGGAAAGTTGTGGGACACCCTTAATGACATATAGCACTTTTAACTCTCAGGCTTCACAAGGTAACTGCTGCAGAAATAACATTCTTCTTTCCAGGTTTACTAAAAACTCCAGCACCGAACACTTCTGTTTGGTCCTTGTCCCTTCCATTTTCCTTCTTTGGCAAGTATTTATTGAGTACCTACTACTTGCCAATCAGAAAGACCCCTGTGCTTAGATTCTGGGAAAACCTGAACAAGTTGTAGGTGCCAGAGCTGTTGGCTTTACAACTAGTGGGGGACAGGCAATGGCGGGGAGCAGGAGTGCGCCTAGCAAAAGTGCTGTCATACAGGTTTCCCTCCTTCTCAGCCTAAGAATTTTTCCCAGCAGGAACCACTGGGAGGGGCAGCTCAGGCTGGTTTGGATCAGGCCCTGTTGTTTTTCACTGTTGAATCTTCTACAAGGAACCCCAAGCTGGGGTGGTAAGAACCTTGGGACCATTGGTTGTAGAGACCACTTAGCAGTTCTTTTTGGGGGATAGTTTAAGGTCTGAGTAATAAAGAGTGTGGGAGATGCACAGATGGATAGAAGGGGATATACAGTTTCACTTTCTGCTCCATTCTTTCAGTTTTATCGTGGACCTTGAATTCTGTTACCTTGCAGTCTTTTAAAAAACCTTCCAGAGTCAAGGCTCCAAATAGGGAAGTCATTGTATTACCTTAAATGGAAAGGCAGAAAAACCAAGGGAGGAATCAGACCCGGCCTATCTCTGCCACGAAATCCTCCCAGCAGGAACAGGCACAGAATCGGGTAAACACCGCGCCTCCCGAATATCTGCCCAGTGCCTATGGACAGCAGACACTTCAGGGCTGTTGGTAAGACTCCACACTGAATGCTTTCTGCAGATTGTGTCACTTAATTTTCAATTTTATAAAAGCTGAAACTAGCAGTTACGAGGTAGAGCTGGTACTGGAGCCCAGTCTGATTTCTGAACCCACACTGCTAAACCTCTGGCTATGTGGCTTTTAGTCTTCTTCGGCTGTCTACACAGTAGCTGCCGGGGGCAGGCTGAGGTTGCTGTGCACAGGTCCAGGAAATGTCCGTGCTGTTGTAATTTTGGAAAATAAGACAATTACTAGATCAACAAATAAGAGCTATTGCAGCTGCAAAACTCTTGGCACAACTGAAGTCACATACTGTTTCTTAGGTCTTACCGCTCATTTCTGGAGTACCCAGCCCGAGGGAGTTGGTCAGGGACTTGTAAAACAATACTAACCTTGTCCAGAAGAGTACACCTTGATTTTGCTGCAAGCTGGAATAACAGTAATCATACTAGTGTGGCTTGGGTGCCCACTTTGTGCCAGAGGCCTTTCACTGTGTAATGACATTTCAGTGATGGACTGTGTATATGACAGCAGTCCCCTAAGATTTATTGCCCAGTGACTTGGTAGCCATCTTAGCTTTCCACTCTACAATGTTAAGTATACCCTCTGGTGTTCAGATAAAACAGCAACCCCTGAACAATGCAGTTCTCCAAAAATATCCTGTCAGTAAGCAACATGTGCTTGTATTGCTCTCAATTCAATATGGAGGGGCTGGCGCTATGGCGCAGCAGGTTAACACTGTGGCCTGAAGTGTTGGCATCCCATATGGGCGCTGGTTCTAATCCTAGCTGCTCCACTTCTGATCCAGCTCTCTGCTATGGCGTGGGAAAGCAGTAGAAGGCTGAAGTCCTTGGGCCCCTGCACCCACGTGGGAGACCTGGAGGAACCTCCTGGCTCCTGGCTTCGCATTGGTGCAGCTCTGGCCGTTGCGGCCAATTGGGAAGTGAACCAGCGCATGGAAGACCTCTCTCTCTCTGCCTCTCCTTTCTCTCTGTAACTCTTTAAAATAAATAAACAAATCTTAAAAACAAACCAAAAACAGCAGGGAATGCTCCCAACTGCTGGTTCACTCCCCAGATGCGAGCTGAGGTCAAAGCTGGGAGCCAGAAATAATCCAGGTCTCCCTTGTGGGTGGCAGAGATTCATCATTTGGGTCATCACTGCTGCCTCCGAGGGGCCCCAATAGCAGGGAACTGGAGGGAACTGGAGTCAGGTATCAAACCCAGGTACTCTGAGACAAGGTATCTTAACTGCTAGGCTAAATGGCCACCCCATGCTCCTAAATCAGATAGGTGCTATTGAGTCCTCCCCCACCCCCCAAAAGAAAAGATTTATTTATTGGGGCCAGTGCTGTGGCACAGTGGGTTAAAGCCCTGGCCTGCAGCACCGGCATCCTATGTGGGCACTGGTTTTTTGAGTCCCAGCTGCTCCACTTTCCATCCAGCTCCCTGCTAATGTGCCTGGGAAAGCAGTGGAGGATGGCCCATGATTTATTTATTTGAAAGGCAGAGAGAGAGGTCTTCCATCTGCTGGTTTACTCTCCAAATGGCCACACTGGCCAGAGCTGGGCCGATATGAAGCCAGGAGCCTGGAGCTTCTTCCAGGTCTCCCACGCAGGGGCCCAAGTCGGGCCATCTTCTACTGCTTTCTCAGACAATAGCAGAGAGCTGGATCAGATGTGGAACAGCCGGGACTCAAACCAGTACCCATATGGGATGCTGGCAGTATAGGTGGTGGCTTTACCTGCTATGCCATAGCACTGGTCCTTATTGCTGTCTTTTTATAAATGAGAAAACTAAGGCTTAGGGGCTATCAGAATAACTTCCTAAAGTCACACTGCTAATAACTGGTGGAGCTGAGATTCAAACAAGCCCATTGACTCTAAACTCCAGGCTCATCCTGTTAGACTAGGGAAGAGCACAGGGATGCTGCTGCATGGCAGGATGCCTGGCAGAGGCCAACAGGAATACCAAATGACACCAGCTCTCTGGCAACACTAAAGGGCAAGGCAGGGTCAGCGCTCATCTCAGGGCAGCAAACTTCCTGGAGGTTCAGCTCAAAGCTTCCTTCCTGACAGTGTACACTTAGGGAAAGAATTATGGTGTAACAGAAGTTAGCTTTTAAATTCCAGGGTCCTTGGTATACTGAAATATTTGCTGCTTTGTGACGATCCTGTCTCTTGTGCAAAAGGCCCCATTCTTCTGGTGTGGACTAGCTCATCATGGTGGAGGAGAAAGAGAGTGAGATTAAACGAAAAGGGGATCATACCATGCAAACCCCTTTGACACCTTCGAAATGGGTCACGGCGAGACGCCATGGCTGTGAAGGGACCAGCTTGTCCTGATACCACTTTGGGTAGAAAGGCATACAATCACAAAATCAAAATATTTATTTTGTTCTTTTGCACATGACACTGTTAAAACATTCTGACTACAGCCATACTGCTCTCCAGGAGCGTACAATCTAAAACAGTCAACATTAATTGTAGACCCAGTGATTAAGGCATTATATTAAACGAGGACTGTCTATCTTTAGTTGTATCTTTTGAAGAAGCAGCTGAGGAGGGCAGGATCAAAATTAAATGACATGAAACTGTACCCCATGCCCTCTTTCCTCCAGCTCCTTTGCAAGGAATCTCCTGTGATTAGAACCCAAGACCAGTACCCACAGCCTGAAAGGGAATTCTGGACAACCCTACTACAGAAGTAGTGAGGAAACTTTCTAATCCCCGATGGACAGAGTGAGGGTTCCCTGTTTGTGGGCAATGCGGGTGTTGAGTGTTCCTCCATCAGACACTGGAGACAGCACCTAAGTCTGTAACTCTGAGGAGAGTACGAGGTACCTTTTCCCAGACTTACAAAAATTCCAGTGGGCAGTTGTTTCTTGAAGCGTGCTTAAGGTCTCTAACAGGTTTCTAAATACCAACTTCTGGTATTTACATCTACAAATGGCAATGCCCACTGCATCAGGAGGGCTAGGGAGATTGAACAAACTAGACGATGGGGATAAAAGACCGGAAGTCAGGAAGGGAAAAGGAGAGCAGAATAGGAGGCCAAAGAGGTGAGGGTACAGTCTCCTAACAGCTGTGCACAGGGAAGGAGGAAAAGAGAAGTTTCGGTCCAAAGTGAACAAAGACATCAAGGCATCAAATTCCAAATGAATAGGAGTTCAGAAATCAAAGTCAACGAGACAAGGTCATTATATTATGACAATCCCACAGCTCAGGAAAGACGGAAAGAATTTAAACTTTTTTCTCATTCACCAGCTTCATCCTTTGGCAACCCTGAACCTCTAAAAGTCAGGTTTTCCAGGAGATTATCTCTATCCTGAAGAGGTTTTTCTTTGTTAGTTTCAGATTTATAACGGTTTTTCTTACCTTACTGATAAGGTCCCAGTACTGGGAAGGTATTTTATAGCAGCTCATGCTGAGATGTCTAGAGAGCACCAGAGTCACTACTAAACCTTGATTCTTACTTGGTTCTCATGGTTTTATGATTCCTTGGCTTCCGAGACAGCCATGGGCTATTTGCACCTTTAGTGCTGGACTCTTGTCAGTACCCGGAATTCACTCTGCCCATGCTAAGTTACCAGGGCTTCAAGCGGATGAAATGAGAGAAAAGCACAAAGCTCTAAAATGTTGGTTCTTGGATTTTAACCTCGATCTAGTAGGCTCGTCACCCTCTCTTGGTTCAAAGCCATAGAAGTACACACTCCTCACTCTCCAATATTTAACTGGCATCCACAGAGAAAGTACAAACTTCAAAACCACAACACAAGCCAACAGGACAGCTCTGCCCGAGGCACGGCTGTGTCTGGCTCCGAGGAGGGCAGGGTTGAGCAGACCAGCACGGAAGATTCACTGTACCGAGGTAGTTTGGACTGAAACAAGGCTGCAGTAGAGACTAACAATAAACATCCAATGGGATTCTTCACTTAGAAAAGAGGTTTCTAGCCACTTGTGATCTAATGAAGCCCCTAACAGTGACAAAGATGGTCTTTCAGAGGATGGGGATCTGCCTGGCGTGGGCATGGATGCTGGGGCTGATGCAAATCTGGCCATCAGTGGGCCGCACCCTGAGTTTCTCCAAAGAGAAAGCTGAGCTTTGGCCCTTCTGGCCCAGGCTGGCTGATTTACACCACAGGTCAAAGGTCTCTCTCAACCTTCAAACTCCTTCCAAGAAACCACAGCTCTTTAAAACCGAGGAGTAGTGATTTCATCCATGCTGATCAGAGTACTTTGGCTGCAGCCCTTCCTGCAAATGCGCAAAGGTGCAGGTATAGGTGTACACAGATGGAGCTGCACAACAGTCTTTGGAATGCTTAAGTATTGACCAGCAGCATTTATGACGTGAATTATGCCCAGATGTACAACCTACCCATCAGCAATTCAAATTTCCATGCCCGATACCAGATGATGCTTCCTTAATTTAAAGCAGAGTAAGTGTGGGCCCCCTTGACCATCAATTGGAACAACAATCAAGAACCCAGAAATACCAATTTTGGGGCTCTGGGATTAAGGCCCAGCAATTAGTGTGTCAGCTGCTAGTTCTGATGCATGCTCAACTTTGAAAATCACTGGTTTGCATGCCGGTGCTACAGCTCACTAGGCTAATCCTCCGCCTTGTGGCGCAGGCACACCGGGTTCTAGTCCCGGTCAGGGCGCCGGATTCTGTCCCGGTTGCCCCTCTTCCAGGCCAGCTCTCTGCTGTGGCCAGGGAGTGCAGTGGAGGATGGCCCAAGTACTTGGGCCCTGCACCCCATGGGAGACCAGGATAAGTACCTGGCTCCTGCCATGGGATCAGCGCGGTGCGCCGGCCACAGCACGCTGGCCGCAACAGCCATTGGAGGGTGAACCAACGGCAAAGGAAGACCTTTCTCTCTGTCTCTTTCTCTCACTGTCCACTCTGCCTGTAAAAAAAAAAAAATCACTGGTTTGGAGACAAACACATGAAAACAGTAATGGGAAAAATTTCAAACTCTTGCTTCATTCAGCTGAGACAAACCAAGGTACTAAGTCAAAGTAAAATGCCAATGGCTTTACAGTTTTATTTTAAAATATCTGTTTCTTTTCTCTCAAATTGATTGTCTTTTTTTTTTTGATTAGCAAATTCATCCTAATCAAAATGGTAAGTGGGAACATAAAATTGATGAGTTAGCAACTCAAGAATACACACTCTGCAAGCCCTGAGCCTGGAATTAGCCTCAACCACCCCTCTGCACACTACAAAGGTTTTGGTGCAAAACATCACAACTGGAGAAAGGCACAGGGTATTTCCCACTTATTGAGTCCAAAGACTAGAACTCATTTTCTAATGTTAAGTTTGAGTTCCGGGTGTAGTTGGACAAGAATTTCCCTCACCTGCCATTAATCCTGCTCAAAGTCAAACCCTTTCCATCACTGACTCAGGGAAAAACAAAACAACAAAACAAAACAAAACAAAAAACAAATTCATATGCTGTCTGCTAAAAGAAACCAAGAAGATAAAACAAGGAAGCAGATGACCAAGTCATTGAATAGAAAGCTACCCAGATTAGACGAGAACATATAAATGGGATCTAAGATGACGAGGAAAAAGACATCTCGGGTGGCTTCTCTTTAAGAAAAATGGGAATCTCAACTTAGTAGGAAAAAAAACAGTTTAGGAGGTTACCACTTTACCCCAGGGACTGTAAACTAAACCTCTGTTGAGCTCTGTGTGTGTGTGTGTGTGTGTGTGTAAGAGGAGCAAGAAGAGATGATTGGAGCAGGAATCATGTCTTCCAGTCTCAAACTGCTTCCCACTGCAATCATTAAGGCCACACCATGGAGTCTGACGTTAATGACAATGCTCTGTGATGTCCACTACCACTGCTTTCTTCCAGCTGAAGAGAAAGTATCCTGTCCCGGCCCCGGCTGCTACGGCAATACAGAGGTACCCGTTGTAGGTCATGAAGATGAGCATGAGGAAGTAGCTGATGACCACCTGGATGATATGCAGCACTGTTTGCAGGAGGTGAGGAAAGCTTAGCATCTGCTGCCTGGAGAGCAAATGGGGACACAACAATCAGACTTCTAGGAGCTCTGAGACCTGGAGGAGGGCAAACGTTGTAGCCACGAGGGCAGCCTCACCTGAACTGCCTTACCACCATCTTGGCAACTCGTGGGCACTTGTGGGTATGGACATTTTACAGTCCCTGAGAATGGAATACCATAGGCTGCCAGGTTGATAAGCATCAGCCAGATATGGTTATATGTGCTTTGGGGAGGAGGACACAGCAAGGAGCAATCCCAGCTTGTCTCCACCTTGGGTCCTGAAAGGGAAGGCTTAGGGAACGTCGGGCCTGTGGGCAATATAAGGCCCCTGAAATCAATTGGTTTGGCCCTGCCAAGGCAACTGCAGGTGGGACTCAAATTCAATAAATCTATAGCAGACTAATTTTGTAAGTCAATCATTTTGTCTGGCCTACAAATGATGCTATAAATAACCAAAGGCCCTTGGCAGAAAAAAGTTTCCCCACTCCTGCAAAACCTCCCATACTTATCTGCCTGAACATTTTTAGGCCTTCCCCCTTGGCAAAGTTCATGTTCCACAAAAGTGGAAACAGAATTGAGGGCTGGGTGGTATAGTAGAAACAACTAAATTAAGGATCAGGAGATCTGGTTACTCATTCTTTCATCTTAACTAAGTTCCAATCTTTTGGGGCTTTAATAAGCTCATCACTACCATGGGAATAAATAATCTTGTTTGCTTGAAAGCTCGAGAGGTTGGTCTTTGGGATTTCTTGAGGCCCAATCTAGTTTTAAGACCTATATTTCTATCAAAACTGGAACTCAAAAAGCAATGCTAATCTATGGAAAAGCTAGCAGTCATCCAAATACTTTCTTGGAATATAGACATCAGTACAATTTTATATTGTAAATAAAATGGGGATAGTGCTGACCAGGTTTACTCTTTTAGAGAAAGTAATCAATTACATTCTACTCTTTTATACCTTGACTGAATAAATTTCTTAACCTGTTCACTAATATTTTGGCAAATATTTGAAAATATGGATTCCTTACTTATCTTCTTCCAAAATGACCAGTATCCAGAACAAACAATTGTGTTTGCACATAGGTTCCTATCCTTCCTCCTTTGGCCTGCTCATAATCCACACCACACACCTCTAAAGACAGTTTTGAGCAAGGTCATGTGGAATCACTAACTGAAGAACAGGGCAGCTATGAGTAAGACAGCGGTTCTCCTGCTTAACTAGTCCAGCTTTCTGGAACTCCCATCTGGACCTGTTCAATCGTCTTACCCAACAGTTTTATGTGTCTCCATAAGGATGGTTCCATTTGGTCCTGGCACAGGCATGGAATTGTAGCGAATGCTGACTTGTGACTTCCGTAGCAGGCTCTCTCGGGCTATCTTGAGTCCCTCATAGAACATTGCTAGTAGAAACACTGCCACAAAAGCTCCAGCCATTTCTAAGCAGGGAAGGAAAAGATGGTGATACTGTGAAACAGATCATTGGTCAGTGCAGCTAGAAAGACAAAGTAAAAAAGTACTACTCTTAGTTTCTTCATATATTATACTGTTACCCCTTACTTGCCCAGATGGGAGAACAGCTTATATAGTCTTGGTGAAAACCATTGCCTCTGTGGAATAACACATTTACTTTCTGATGAAGATCCAAAAGAGCATCTGAACAATAAAAACCTTTTGATTTAGCTGCTTGATGGCATTAAATTAGCTATTAAATTGAAACACAGTGTAGAATATGGAAAAGGAAAATAGCATTTAAAGTACTGACTACATTTCTTGAATATGCACTTCAGTTCTTTTACACTGTAAGGTGCTGGTACTGACATGAATGTATTAAAATACTAGTTTAACACACCAGCTGAACTAAATGCTCCCTTTCCTGCCAAAACAAATTGATTTTGTGGATACAAAGATATATTTGGTACTAAAGCAGTCCAGCTAATTATGGATCTTGTGCAATTTCAATTTAAAGCTTACTGATGCAACAAGATAGGCACAATCAGCTACCTCCAAACCAGGAGAGATTCTAACAGTGGGCATGCCAAGCACTAGGAAGGATGTGGCCCACAGTCTGTACACTAGAAGGAACACTGGTGTAGGCAGCTCTTGGAGGTTTGGGTCTTGTCCTTGCTGACACACTAACATTACGTTATTTAGGGTGTAACATTCCACTAGTTGTAAAATAGAAAGGTTGGTATTAGATTAACAGTTTTAACTTAGGGTTTATTTTGTAGTGTTTTCACTTGTTTGTAGCTTTATGTCTAGGAACAACAGTTTATCAAACAAAAAACATTCTGAAAAAAGAATAAAAAGAAATTGATTGCAAAAGACATTTATCAGGCATCTAGATTATTTTTCAGAGCTCCAAAAACATAAACATGTTATTGAAAGGAAGTTTACTGGAAGACCAAAATAAATATTGTGTATCCTACCCCGTAGGTAGGAAATAGGAACCAAGATGGTTATGCATCATGACCAAACTGATTCAGTAATTAGGACAGAAAGAGATGCTGGATTTCCAAAAGCTTTGTCACCATTTCTCAAGTGACTGACACCTTCAAATACTGCCTGATAGTGTACTCACCTCCAGCTGTATTGATCACCAAACCAGAAAACAACAGTTCCACATTCTTAAAGCCAAAGTAGAACGTCATAGGCTGCCAGAAAATCAAAATGAGCCAATTAGAGTTGACTAAAGATCCTAAGTGAGGGAAAGAAGCTTACAACATTAAAAAGTAGCAGATCTGGGGAAGCAGAGACATTCACTGAAGAGGGAGGCTTTCTCCCTTATCTTAGCATATTCATTAATATCACAGGCACCACGCAAGAGTCTTCTCCTGTGGTCCCACTGCCAACTTTCCTCTTTTCTACACAAAGCACAAAGACCAGAAGTCCATTCAGAAAAGGGTCCATTTCATAAAGAAGCTGGAGAAGACAGAACCCTTGAAATCGTGGTTCTAATGTAACTCTGCAACTGACTTGCCACATGATCTTGGGCAAATCACATGACTTGTGTGGGTCTGTGTTAGTTTTTTCTCATGAGTAAGCTGACCTTTAGCGATAATACACTGGCAGTACTGAAGGTCCATGATTTCCGTGTCCCAGATGGGAAAGGACCTGTGCTGCCTCTCCTGTGGCACTCACCATCATCATCATCATGCTGCCGTCTCCTCCACCATGGGAGTGTGAGGCTGTGGTGGTCATGTGGCCCATATGGTGGGAATGATTCATTTTCCCAGGAAAAGTTCGGATGCAGCAAAAGAGTCTCTTAAAAAAAAAAAAAAAAAGAATGACTTATCACAACCTAAGGATATAAAAATCTTGTTTCATGGTAAATTTGTAAGACTTTTATCTATATGGAATTTCATGCAATGAAATTTACCTGTAGAGAGAAAATTAACAGGTTCTGATAAGGATCACTTTTGGAGACTGTGGCAGAAGGGACTTGAACCTAGGGCCTCAGATACCTGACCCCCTTCCTTAGTTTATAAAATTGTTCCTTTAAGGGGCCAGCATTGTTGGCACAGCGGGTTAAGCTGCCACTTGTGACCGGCTCCACCTTCAGTATAGCTCCCTTCTAATGTACCTGTGATAGCAACGGAAATTGACCTAAATATCTGTGCCTCTGCCATCCATGTGGAAGACCCAAATGGAGTTCCAGGCTCCTGGCTTCTGCCTGGCCCAATTCCAGTGCTTATGGCTATCTGGGGAGTGAAAAAGTATATGGAAGATTTCTTTCCCTTTCTGCCTTTCAAATAAATAAAATATATCTTAAAAAACTATTTGTTCCTTTAAGAGACATGTTTAATATACCCAGATTTAAAGATGAGAAATGCAGCCTGTTTAAGTTGCAGGAAACAATTTGTAACAATGTACAAATGGATGCCATTAAAGCAATTTAATAGCTCTAAGGCTTTCTAATCATGTCAGTAGATAAAAAGCAAGTAATTCAGATAACTCACCTAATGGGGATGACCTGTGTTTAATCAGGATGTTCAGGTTACATTTTCACGAATGGACAACCAGCCTTCAAGCTAATTTAAATTTGAAAAAAGGTCTACTGCCGCCCTAGGCAAGCAATGTACTCAGGCTTTGGATACAATTTGAGTCCTACAAGGACACTGGAGTTGAGAACATGAAAAACAAGATATAAATTGGATATTCTATATTAGATTAAGTCTAGACACTGTATAATCAGCTTTGTATTTTTTCAACTACATCCATGCTGTACTGCAAAAGTCAATGTGGGCCATAAACCAGGGAGCATTAATTTCTATAGCAGGAGCTGGGGAAGTTGGGGTGTATCTGGAAAGGGAGGTGTTGGTAGAAACTGTTTATGTGTCCCTCAACTCCAATTTGTGGAAGAAAGAGTGGCTTCTGGAATTCCAAGTAGGTTTTCCTATTCATGAGCCTGAGTGTGCTTCTCATTATTCATTCCCTCAATCAAAATTTATCAAGCACCTACTATGTGCCAAACTCTGAGCCAAGTAACAGAACAATTTTTGCGGTGTGATTAATGCTGGGATGGAAAGAAACAGGCTGTTGTGACAGTATTCCTAGGAAGTGAAGGAGAGATGGACTTCAGATAGGAAATCTATACACAGTCATGCAGCCATGGGAGTCTAACTCCAAATCACAAATATTCAGCCATCTATTTTCCCATCTTTAACTCCTACCCCATGGTTCTGTAACAGCAGCCTTAAGAAACAAGTTCTTACTTCCAGTGGAAGACAAAGCAAAGTGGCAGGGATATTCAAAGTTCAACTTTTTTTTTTTTTTAAAGATTTTATTTATTTATTTGGGAGGTAGAGTTATAGACAGTGAGAGGGAAAGACAGAAAGAAAGGTCTTCCATCCACTGGTTCACTCCCCAAATGGCCACAACAGCTGGAGCTGCATCGATCCAAAGCCAGGAGCCAGGAGCTTCCTCTGGGTCTTCCACCTGGGTTCAGGGGCCCAAGTACTTGGGCCATCTTTCACTGCTTTCCCAGGCCATAGGAGAGCTGGATGGGAAGAGGAGCAGCCGGGACTAGAACTGTCACCCATATGGGATGCCAACACTGCAGGTGGAGAATTAACCTACTCTGCCACAGTGCTGGCGCCTAAAGTGCAACTGTGAATTTAAGTAACTGTCATGTCAGATACTATATTATTTTATAAGTATAAATCTTGAATATTTGGTATGATTAATACCATTGTCATAAAAGGAACTAGATTGGAAATGCAAACAGATATTTAACAGTATTTGTCCACAAGTATATATTTTTTAAAGATTGATTTATTTGAAAGGTAGCATTACAGAGAAATAGTGAGAAACAGAGCTCCTTCATTCACTGGTCCACTCCCCAAATGGCTGAAACCAGAAGCCTGGACCCCCATCCAGGTCTCTCACATGGTGGCAGGGGCCCAAGCACTTGGACAGTCTTCTGTCTTCCCAGGTGCATTAGCAGGAAGTTGGGTCAGAAGTAGAACAGCTGTCACTAGAATCAGTGCTCAAATGGGATGCCGGAATCACAGGTGGTGGCCCCATCCACAAAAATTTTATAGTAAGCACTAAATATCAGAACACACACCAAAAAAGTGACAATGGATGATGGACAGGGGTTTTAGAGGAAATAACTGCAGAATGGAGAGTTCACTGGTACCTCAATGATCCTAAATTAGGATTCTGAACCAAGCAAATGAAGTGAATTAAGAATGAAAAGACTGCAGCCAGCATTGTGGCATAGCAGGTAGAGCTGCTGCCTGAGATGCCAGCATCCCGTATGGGCAACCAGTTCAAGCCCCCTGCTCCACTTCCAATCCAGTTCTCTGCTAATGTGCCTGGGAAGGCAGCAGAAGATGGCCCAAGTCCTTGGCCTCTGCCACCCATGTGGGAGACCTGAAAGAAGCTCCTGGCTTCTGGCTTCAAACCAGCCCTGTTCAGGTCATCGAGGCCATTTGGGGAGTGAACTAGCAGATAGAAGATCTCTTTCTCTGTTAATTCCACCTTTCAAATAAATAAATTAATCTTTTTTTTTTTTTTTTTTTAAAAAAAGCACTGAAAAAACTTTCTTGAGTCAGCACATCCTCATATGGAGACTGAAGCTGAAGTCAAGTCACAAGTTTTGTTCTCTTCCAACAAGAGTCTGGAGAGTTTACAGCACTGGAAATCATAAAGGATAATTTCATCCAGTATTATCAACACAATCCTGGTCACGAAGAAGCAAGGAGTATCAGTTAAGGCCTTTCTGTTGTAAGACACCAAGGGAGATGCAGAGATGAACCAGAAACAGTTGGGCTCAAGGAGCTTCTAGGCCAAAAGCTGGAAGGGGAAACTGAATAGAAATAATTTTCATTTTGGGGTATAAAATTACATGTAAAGGACTATTTAAAAAGCAAGAATAAACACCACAAACTATTGTTGTACCATGAACTTTTACATTATTCCTATTCGCAGTTTTCGAAGACTCACAAGTTCCTAATTATTCTGACCCCTCATTACCAATTAGAGGTACATGTTCAATGACAACACATTACCAAATCTCTCTCTCTTTTTTTTTTTTACATTAGACTTTATTTATTTATTTATTTATTTATTTATTTATTTATTTATTTATTTTTGACAGGCAGAGTGGACAGCGAGAGAGAGAGTCAGAGAGAAAGGTCTTCCTTTTGCCGTTGGTTCACCCTCCAATGGCCGCCGCGGCCGGTGTGCTGCGGCCGGCGCACCACGCTGATCCGAAGGCAGGAGCCAGGTGCTTATCCTGGTCTCCCATGCAGGTGCAGGGCCCAAGGACTTGGGCCATCCTCCACTGTACTCCCGGGCCACAGCAGAGAGCTGGCCTGGAAGAGGGGCAACCGGGACAGAATCCAGCGCCCCACCAAATCTCTTTAAACATACCAGAGACCCAGGAATTCATACATATGTTCAAACCTTAAGAAAATCTTCCAACTTATGCATTTACTCTGAAATATCATCCGTGTAGGATACAATTCACTTTCAAATGTACTAGCTAACAGAGCAGGATTAGAATCTACTTGCTTTTGTTGTCAGTGAACAATGGACTTCTTATAATAAAATTCCACCTCAAGGCTTACCCAGTGGTATATGAACATGAAGGAACTAATCTGGTGGAAATTAACATACAAAAATACACCATAGAGTCAAACCCTTCCCAGTAAGTCCTTATGCTTGCTCACTAATCATCTTAGTGTAAGAAAAGTCCCACGGGAATATACCAAACCGATGTCAAAAAAGGAAAAACTAAGGAATTATTAAGGCATAATAAATGATTATAATTTTCCCCTTCCTACTTAATTTTCATTGATGTGTCCTATGTATTTGGATAACTCATCAAATGCACCTAACTCATTCTTGGTAGAATAGAAATGCTGTCATTGGTTAATTTTGATCTCTCCTTCAATAGTTCTCATCTAAAATGACCCAAGCTCAGTTTCTTTCAGAATAAAAATGGGTACTTAAGTAAGAAAAGTACTGTGTCCAGGGGCACACCAGTAGTGTTTGTTTTCTCAATTTGTAACCTGAGGAAAATGGTTTCATCTCATGGTAATCGGGAACTGTGCTGTTCTCTTTGGCTTATTCAAGTTTCTCTAACCTCCACAGCCACTTCAACTACTGCTCTCTAAGAACTGTTTTCGCTAATGTAGCCCAGCCTCATCATCTCTTTCTATGAACTGGGTTCAAGGTCCACAAAGTAGCTGGACTGTACTTTTATGGAATCAAAAATGCAGTTATGATTAGTGGAATTCGTGGAAGAGTAAGTAATGATTAGTGACGGGTGGAACCTAAGGAAAATCTTTTTAAGAGGGTAATCTGATTACATGACCTGCAAAAGTGCCTTCGCCTCTCCTCAGCTGGTTTTCCAGACAGCGAAGCCTGAAGGAGGGCTGCTGCGAGGACTCAATGCAATCACACCCACTGAGCACCTCAGTGCCTGACAAATGGTAGCTATTACTTTATTGGAAATAAACCTCAAACAGGGAAAATTCAGTGAGTGAGCTTTGTGGGAGAAGACACCAGTCAGCATATTAGCATTCTGTTAGAGTCTCTCCTACGGAGTTCTAATTGAGACCACGAAGTGGCTGACAACAGGCATGTGGGTAACTCCTAAGAGCTGCTGCTTCTGGTAGAAAACCTTAAGGAAAACCAAGATATGGTCCAGGAATTGACTATTACAACAACTGCCATCATACGAAGCATGAATTTGTATGGAACTCAGTTCCTATAAAACAGATAAGGAAAGAAGTCTCTCAGGATGGCTTT